AGGCGAGCGGGCCGGTGTTGGCTGCGATAATTTCCCTCGTAGGAGCTCGGACAGACGGGGCCGTGTTTTGGATTTGTGCTGGAAGCAGTGTCGATAGGGCAGAGGTGTTTTCGCTCTTGCTGGGCAGAGGGAAGGGCAAAGGTTTTGCTTTCCAGTGACTGCTGCTGGTGGGAGGAGGGGAAACAGAGGTAGGCTCAGCCTGGTAACACCAGCAATTGATTAGTATTGGTTATTAAGTGATTATTAACCCTGCACCGAACATCACCTGTGTACCAAGTGATGAATATGCAGCGAGGTTTCAGTGATATCCTAGAAACAAGACTGCACCAGGTTGGAGCATCTCTGAATCCCGCTTGCCCACGGCAGCGGCGTCAGCCTCTGTCCAGTGGAGAAAATGTGATGTATGGCCCTTCGACCCTGTGCCATCGAAATTCTGCATAGCAGAAGGTAGAATCAAACTGTGGTTTCCCTGGAAAGGAAAGATTAAATAACCACAGCTTGCCAAGAAAGCTGCTGAAGCACAGAATTAAAAAATCTGATTCAGTCCGTAAAATCTGCCCACTTCAGGGTAGGTGGAAGGAGTATGTGTTTTCCCTTTTCCATACACATAAATTCAGCGAGGATGTTACAGTTAATTCAGATCAGCACTCAAGCACATCAATTTAAAGATCGTTTTAGCTGGCAGCAAATGAAAAGTCTTCAGTTCGTTCCCGAAGCCGTCAGGAAGTCGGTCTGCAGCGGATAAGCGGGCGGCGGGAGCGGCGGGTGCGCGGGGAGGGGTGGTGGAGGGCACGGGCGGACGAACAGCCTCCGCGTTCTCAGCAACTGGGTGCACGTGTGCGGGGCTGGAGCACTGTGCCTGCTGGGGGGGATGGACCCGTCCGTTGGAGCTGTTGCAAAGTCTCCGTCCTCTCCATCCGCTGGGGCTCGAGGGGCGTCCCGGGCCGTTGCGGGCGGCTCTGCTGCCTTACACCAGCTCTGACTCACTCCTTAGCTGTAAGGATACAACTAATTGTGCATCTTTCTCCGTTCTCCGGACGATAGAATTTCCAGATGCAAAAAGAGTATTTGTTTACATTGGAGATGGTACTGGTGGTGACACGTGAGGAGCTCGGCTGCTGATCTCTTCGGAAGATGCGGGTCTGGCACAGCAGTGCAGCAAGAGGGAAGACAGAGTGTTCATTTCCAAACTGTGGTGTTTTACAATTATTCACAACAAAAAGGTTATGCATTGATCTTTTTCAAGTCGTCAGTAAATGTAATTTTACTTTTGCTATCGTTTCTTTCTGTAGAAGGTATCTCCATTTGGATCTCTTCAAACTACGCCAATACTAAAAATTTAACAATATATTGTGGCATTAGGTTTGTATTATTTTCTTTTACAGTGATTTTGGCCATATATCATCTAAGATGCCTGGAGAGGGGGAGGTTTCCAGGAAATGACAGATATCTGGTTTCTGAAAATCAGTTTGTTTCAAGGCGTTTCAGCTCAGGAACGGGAAGCAATGATTCCTTTTAGAAAAGTCAGCCACTGTGTTTCTAGAACTTGTTTTTGTGGACAAGCAGAAAGCAAACTCTTAAGTCCTGTAACAACAGAACTGTTGTGTTCAAATACTCTCCTTAAACAGTCATAAAGCTTGCACAAATATTTTTTTTCAGTGAACATATTTACAAGGCAATGAACAAGTGCACCAAAATCCTTCTCACTGCAAAGATTAGGTGCAACTCAGAGATGAGTACGACTGATTTCGTGAAGGCCTTGAGTTGCCCAGACGCCTTGTCCATCCTCGTGTGCCGTTAACGAGTTTCCCTCTCGCTGGCAGAAGGTTCGTGTTGAGCCGAGCGCCCCGCGGGTGGAAGCCCCCTGTCCACCCTCGGTAGGACACTGCTTGCACATAAGCTTCAGTGCTTTAATCCACTGACACACAAGCTGAAGGGAGAACCTACAAATGCAAAGCAAGATCAGTCAGCAATAGAACACGGCGTGTGCTCGTTTGCAGCCGGCAGCTGCCCAAGCAGGAGACAGCTGTTTGCTTCGATGGGTTATAATTATACACTGGAGGTGTCAGAATGGCTCTAATATTTGCTTGAATTAACATGATTTTTGCGAAACCAGGTTACGTTTGGCTGCTTACAAGTATCCAGAAAAAAGTGCGGTGTCGGAGGTGACGTTTGTGCGTGCTGTGAACGTGCTGGGATTTGTCTGGGCGGCGCTGCCCAGGAACAGCCATTTGAATTTAAGGGATGTCGGTGTTTGCCCCACGATTCAGCAGAGGTTTTCGTGCCCATTTCCACAGGCATTAGGTGAACATGTCTGCGTTGGACAGAGGCAGCAGCAGCCCGGTACCCGCAGTGATGCCCCGGGGCTACTGCTGGCTCTGAGCGTTGCACATTAAAATCAATTCACTTAGACCCGGTGAAGTCCTAGCGGGTTGCAAAGCGAGGAGGTTTTTTGTCATATTTTCTTGAGCGCCAGCGTTGCACCGGAGGAGGTAATTGGTTAATGAGGGCTTGTTTCTGCCTCAGTGCCTGGGGAACGTGATAGGGTTAATGGTGCTGCTGCGGGGGCTCCCGCTCCCCCTCGCTGGGTTATAGTAGCAGAACGAAGCAAACAAACCTCAAACCTCATCGGCTCCTCGGTTCTCCCGCTGCCGACGCGCTGTCTCGCGTGGTAACTGGGGATGGTTTGGAGCGGAGACGTTGGGGGCTGCACCGTGACTGCAGAGCACACGGCACAGCACCGTGTTATCCTGCGGGACTGCGGGGAGCCACTGAATCCCATCCTGCTGGACCTTTTTTGTCCAGCCTGTTGCGGGATGGTGTTTGTTCACCCCACTGGGTGCTGCAAAGCCTTTAAATACAGCTTGTGAAGATCCTTGAGACTCTTGGGGGGAAGATGTCACTTCTGATCCCTCATCACTGCCTTCCTTTGAAAGGCTTTGCTGCATGTGTTTTTCTTTATCCCCTCCCGTGCCTGGGGATCCCCTTTCTCCCCTTCCAGTGGCACTTTTGTGCTTTGGCTGTGTCTGTTTGCCCATCAGGGTGTGAGCACCAGGCTGCGGTGAGGCTCCGGACCACCTCACCGTAACAGGAGAGCTGGAGTCTGCACGAAAACAGTCCTGGTAACTGCAGGAACCCTGTGTTAGTTCGTAACATCCCTCTCCCATTTTTTAATAGGATTTCGCAACCTGCACGTGGATGACCAGATGTCAATAATCCAGTACTCTTGGATGGGCCTTATGGTTTTTGCTATGGGCTGGAGATCTTTCACCAACGTCAATTCCAGGATGCTTTACTTCGCTCCAGATTTGGTCTTCAATGAGTAAGTGTGAAATAACAATCTCCTACTGTGCTTCGTCTCGGTCAGGCCAGGTGAGAAACGAGAACAAGACAAGGAATTTGGTTTCCCATCTGCTTGTGAAACGTACAGCTTGTGTAATCGTGCTGTCAGAGCTGGCCAACAAAGCGTGGGAGGGCCCTGCTTTCCCCTCTAATTGCTCTGCAGCGACGTCCAGGAGCAGTAAGGAGAGTTGCCATGTCTCTCCTGGTCCGTCTTCCCTTCCCCTCCGCCTTGCCTTGGGTTCCATCAGGGCACCAGCAAGTGCTGGTGCTGGGTGTGAGGGGCTGATCCAGAGAGACCTGCGAGCAAACCCACACCTCCCGCCGAGAGCCCCGAGCTCAGCTCCGAGTCCCTTACGGACAGCCCCGGCCGGGGAGCCGCGGCGGTCGTTTTTCAGGAAGGCAGAGGGTCAGACAAACCCTGCAGATCCCAGGTAGCCACCTGTTTCCAGACGAAGAGGATGACCCGTGGGCATTTTGGGAAAGGTTCCTCTCCCACGTGCAGGCTATCGCTGCCGGCATCCCCCGAGGCGGAGCGCAGGTTCTCGGCCGTGGGGACGCGCCGGGCAAGGCTGGGATGGCCGGGCCGGGCAGCGTGCCCTCCCCACGCATCCCACGGGCAGCGCGTCGCTCACTTGCCGCGCGTGGCACCTCTTGTCCTGCCAGGTACCGGATGCACAAATCCCGAATGTACAGCCAGTGTGTCCGGATGCGGCACCTCTCCCAGGAGTTTGGGTGGCTTCAGATCACGCCCCAGGAGTTCCTCTGTATGAAGGCTCTACTCTTCTTCAGTATTAGTAAGTACTTTCCTTGCCAGATCTGCTGTTGCTGCACACTGTATCGCCCTGGAGGTATCTGGTGCTTTCCCTGTGCACGTGCTCGTACTTCCCAAGGGATGGCTTTGAAGGTTCTCGCCTGTCTTTTCCAACGAGTGCTGAGCCAGGGTCTTTGGGTTAGCAGCAGTCCAAGAAGCCGATGGGAGTGAGGGCTGGTGGGCAGATCTTTCCCTGCTGGAGCAGGGCTGGTGGGCAGATCTTTCCTGTTGGGTCTGTGCTGACCCTCCTTCAGCCTTCCTCTTGCTCTTTTATTCTCTCCACTCTCCGGGCAGCTCTTACTGTTTCCTTCCCATGTCCCATCTAGTTCCCGTGGATGGCCTGAAGAACCAGAAGCTCTTTGATGAACTTCGAATGAACTACATTAAGGAACTTGACCGTATCATCGCTTGCAAGAGGAAGAACCCCACCTCCTGCTCCCGGCGATTTTACCAGCTCACCAAGGTCCTGGACTCCGTGCATCCTGTAAGAGGACAGTGAGATGTTTATCTCTACACATAAGAAACGATACACGAGAGAAACTTTTAGCAGTGAGGGCGATCATTCCCTGAAACAAGCTCCCCAGGGTGGTGGGAGTCCCATCGCTGGAGGTTTTGCAGATGCAATGGGACAGGTGCTAGATAGTCTCATCCAGGCTCCCTTTCCATGACCACTCTGTGCCTGGGCTTATGGGCTTCTTTTTTCACCAGTGCGGAGCTCTTTGTAGACGATACTTTTCCATCGTCAGCCTCGCAGAACAGCTCAAAACCTCAGTGCCCCCAAATGAATCTTCTCTGATTACAGCAGTGAAAACAAATTCTCCATTTGTGGCTTCAAGTGGTACTGGTGAGACGTGAGCCAGACCCTTCTTCTTTCCCTGGGGCTCAGCTCCGTGCCCGTACAGTTCCATGTCTACAAGGGAAAAATAGTTCTTAATAAGTGAAGTCAGCAGCATCTGCACAGGGTATGACAAGTTTCCACAGGAGTAAGAAAGTGCCATTTTTATCCATCCTTGTTTGTGTGGGGCACTGTAACGTCTGAGTGCGAAGGGCCGTGGCAAAATACGCTACGTACTCCCAGGCTGATGCTCGTGCCGCCCGCACGGCGAGCGGGGCAGGGACGGCCAGGGAGCAGAGCGGGTCCCGCTGCAGCGAGGGCCAGCCCTGACCTGCTGTCCCTGCTAACGTCTGCTCCGTGTCTTCCCAGAGAAATCCCTGACCAAGGACTTCCCTCTTAACAAACTTTCTTCCTTTCCCAGATTGCCAAGGATCTGCATCAGTTTACATTTGACCTCTTAATTAAGGCACATATGGTGAGCGTGGACTACCCTGAAATGATGGCCGAGATCATCTCTGTGCAGGTTCCCAAGATCCTGTCTGGAAAAGTCAAGCCTATCTACTTCCATGCACAGTGATCTTCCGGAGGGACCTCCCAGTTCTGCCACCCCCATTTCAGCCATCTCCTGCCTGTGATTTCTGCACTACTGCACTGCAGTGCCTTGGGGAATCCCTCGACAGAGGCGGTGTGCCAAGAGGACGGACAGTAACAAGGACTGCCAGCCGGGATTCCTGACATTTCTATTTTTCCTGAGGTACCTCTGAACTGAACCACCTGCCACGGCTTCTGCCCGGCTTTGGCTGGCTCGCTGTGCCAGGGCAGGACACTGTGGCATGGTGGCAGTGGCACCATGTCTATGCTATCTCATTCGTGTGTTTTCCACAGTGACTTTTAGTGGCCCAGGGCCACGGGAGTTGGGGAGAAATGCCAGCAGTTACGGGGTTTGGGGTTTTTTTTTAAACACAGAACAAGAGAAGCAGCAGGCTGAACTTAAAAGTTTAGGTGTGCGTTACTTTACTGGCCTCCTTCGGGACTTTTTATTTGTGTTATGGTGCTGGGAAGCAGAGGAGTTCAAACATTGCAGCAGAGGAACGGAGAAGACTTAGAGGTGAATTTGCAGCCTGATAAATTTACAGGACCCACTGCTGGGTCAGGACGCCGCCGCGCAGCCGCCGCCGCGCAGCCGTGGCGGGGCTGCTCCGGACAGTGCGCCGCGGCCCCGCAGCCCTGCGTCGGGGTGAGCTGATGGAGCGTCACGGGGCCGTCAGCGAACAGGCTGGAGGGGAAGGTGACCCTCGGAAATCCCCGGAGATGGCGGATGGCTACTGTTTTCCACCTGGGATGTTTTTCCTACGACTGGTTGAGCTGGATCTGGGTCTGCCCCATGGACACCCGGGCGCTCGGCCGTCACATTCCCATCCTCGAAGCTGCTGCTGCTCCGACGCGGCTGTACCCACCTCCGCAAGTGCCTGACGCCCTCAGACCTCGTGCTCCGCCCCCCGCC